ATGATTCAGCAAAGGAAACACAGCCCAGAATAACTAAGGAGATAGTACAAGAATACTTGGCTAGTCTAGATGTATTCAAGTCTCCAGGGCCAGATGAACTGCATCCAAGAGTATTTAAAGAACTGGCAGATGTGATCTCAGAACCACTGGCAGTCATCTTTGAGAATTCCTGGAGAACAGGCGAAGTCCCGGCAGACTGGAGGAGAGCAAATGTTGTCCCTATTTTCAAAAAGGGGAAAAGAGAGGACCCAAATAATTACTGCCCAGTCAGTCTGACATCAATACCAGGGAAGATTCTGGAGCAGATCATTAAGCAAACAGTCTGTGAGCAGCTAGAAAGGAATGCTGTGATCACCAATAGTCAGCATGGATTTCTGAAAAATAAGTCATGTCAGACTAACCTGATCTCGTCTTTTGACAGAATTACAAGCCTGGTAGATGAAGGGAACGCAGTGGATGTAGCCTACCTTGATTTCAGCAAGGCATTTGACAAGGTGCCCCATGATATTCTTGTAAAGAAGCTGGTAAAATGCGGTCTTGACTATGCTACCACTCAGTGGATTTGTAACTGGCTGACTGACCGAACCCAAAGGGTGCTCATCAATGGTTCCTCTTCATCCTGGAGAAGAGTGACTAGTGGGTGCCACAGGGTTTTGTCTTGGGCCCGGTCTTATTCAACATCTTTATCAACGACTTGGATGATGGACTCAAGGGCATCCTGATCAAATTTGCAGATGACACCAAACTGGGAGGGGTGGCTAACACCCCAGAGGACAGGATCACACTTCAAAACGACCTTGACAGATTAGAGAACTGGGCCAAAACAAACAAGATGAATTTTAACAGGGAGAAATGTAAAGTATTGCACTTGGGCAAAAAAATGAGAGGCACAAATACAAGATGGGTGACACCTGGCTTGAGAGCAGTACATGTGAAAAGGATCTAGGAGTCTTGGTTGACCACAAACTTGACATGAGCCAACAGTGCGACGCGGCAGCTAAAAAGCCAATGCAATTCTGGGCTGCATCAATAGGAGTATAGCATCTAGATCAAGGGAAGTAATAGTGCCACTGTATTCTGCTCTGGTCAGACCTCACCTGGAGTACTGTGTCCAGTTCTGGGCACCACAGTTCAAGAAGGACACTGACAAACTGGAACGTGTCCAGAGGAGGGCAACCAAAATGGTCAGAGGCCTGGAAACGATGCCTTATGAGGAACGGCTAAGGGAGCTGGGCATGTTTAGCCTGGAGAAGAGGAGGTTAAGGGGTGATATGATAGCCATGTTCAAATATATAAAAGGATGTCACATAGAGGAGGGAGAAAGGTTGTTTTCTGCTGCTCCAGAGAAGCGGACACGGAGCAATGGATCCAAACGACAAGAAAGAAGATTCCACCTAAACATTAGGAAGAACTTCCGGACAGTAAGAGCTGTTTGACAGTGGAATTTGCTGCCAAGGAGTGTGGTGGAGTCTCCTTCTTTGGAGGTCTTTAAGCAGAGGCTTGACAACCATATGTCACGAGTGCTCTGATGGTGTTTCCTGCTTGGCAGGGGGTTGGACTCGATGGCCCTTGTGGTCTCTTCCAACTCTATGATACTATGATTCTATTCTATGATTCTATTGGACTCCACATAGAGGTCTGTATAAAAAGGATTTGCTAAGGCTGCATTATGCTGGAGATGTGGTAAGGACAATGTCTCCCTGAAACATTGGTTTATAGTGTCTTGGGCTTGCCATTCAGAAGGCTGGTGGTTCAAATCCACTTGACAGCGGTGAGCTCCTAATGCTCTGTCCCAGCTTCTGCCAACCTAGCTGTTTGAAAGCATACTGGTGCATGTAGATAAAGCGGTACCACTGCGGCGGGAAGGTAAAGGGCGTTTCCGTGTGCTCTGGCTTCCGTCATGGTGTTCCATTGCTCCAGAAGTGGTTCAGTTATTCTGGCCACGTGACCTGGAAAAGCTGACTGCAGACAAAAGCCAGCTCCCTCAGCCTGAAGCGAGATGAGTGCTGCACCCCATAGTTGTCTTTGACTGGACCTAACTGTCCAGGGGTCCTTTACCTTTTTATATACCTAACATTACTAGGTTTTGGGAGAAAGTGCTGGTTTGTATAATTATGGCCGATCAGAAGAAACTAAAATTTTCAGCAGAGAATATTTTTGTGAACTAAATACCTACTATATGCAAGTTAACGGGACAACGAAAATGGTAGCTAACCCTCTGAGGCATCTGTCTCAACCCTCTGAGGCATCTGTAGACCAGTGGATTACAGTGGCAGAGGTGTCTTCGTGGGCGTCCAGGATCAGGCCCCCAGAAGACTGGAAGGAAGGAAGGGGGTGGGACAGGCACGCTGCCTTGAAGGGGTGGGACTCCCCCTACACCCACCCCCCCATCCTTCAACTCGCCAGGCCCGCAGCCTTGCGGGGAAGGGCGACCCGTGAACGTGGCTCAGCTGCACGTGGGATCTGGTTCGTTCTTGTCTGGTTTTGGCTACAGCCAAGCAGGAGGCAAGGATGGGGATGAAAGGAGATGCAGCCCGGGGGGGGGGGCACGCTTCCCCTGCAAGCTCTTTCAGGCCAAGGGAGAGACCAGCTCAGATCCCTCAAAACACAGCATGGGGGGGGGGTGGGCAGCAATGCGCGGGGCTCCTCCTGCGCTCCGGCTCTGGAGGAAGAAAACGCAGCGAGAGAGGGGGGGATGAGCTGGGGCGCTCGGCTTGCGAAGGGTTAAAAGGAACTGAGCCGAATTCCTACAGAGGAGAGGACAGAATGGGGGGGGACCGGTCTTTCAGAACAAAAGCCCCTCCTTCCCAAGTCACTTCCTGCAAAGGGGGGGGGGGCGGGCGGTGGATGTTTTCTTTGTCTTGTGCAAGCTTCGCTGCCTGGGTGGCTCCTGCTGCAGTCTGGTGAGTCTCCTCTCTCTTTCCTCCCTTTGGGGGAGAAGGGGGTCCCAGGGCTGCAGGCGAGGATGCAGGGGGGCCGTGTTCAAATCATGCATGCCCCCCAAGATCAGCGAGTGGAGAGTCCTGCGCCCCCTCCTTGCTCTCTGCAAAGCCAGGAGGCGGGTGATTTTGCAGGATGTCTGCTATTACCTTCCTTTGTAACCATGGATGCTCTGCGCTTTGTGGAGAAAAGAATGGCAAGCAAAGAAACCGCATTTAGATTGATGTTGAGCTTCAAACCATATTTTGCGCTCTCCTCTTTCACCCTCATTAAAAGGTTCTTTAATTCTTCCTCACTTTCTGCCATCAATGTTGTGTCATCTGCATATCTGAGGTTGTTATTTCTTCCGGCAATCTTAATTCCGGGACGCTGCCTTGAAGGGGTGGGACTCCCCCTACACCCCCCTTCAACCCCCCCCTTCAACTCGCCAGGCCCGCAGCCTTGCGGGGAAGGGCGACCCGTGAACGTGGCTCAGCTGCGCGTGGGATCTGGTTCGTTCTTGTCTGGTTTTGGCTACAGCCAAGCAGGAGGCAAGGATGGGGATGAAAGGAGATGCAGCCTGGGGGGGGGGGCACGCTTCCCTTGCAAGCTCTTTCAGGCCAAGGGAGAGACCAGCTCAGATCCCCCCAAAAACAGCATCTGGGGGGGGGGGCAGCAATGCGCGGGGCTCCTCCTGCGCTCCGGCTCTGGAGGAAGAAAACGCAGCGGGGGGGGGGGGATGAGCTTGGGATGTTTGGCTCGCCAAGGGTTAAAAGGAACCGAGCCGAATTCCTAGAGAGGAGATGAAGAATGGCGGGTGGGGGGCAGGTCACTTCCTGCAAGCGGGGCGGGGATGTTTTGTGTGTCTCCTTTGCAAGCTTCGCTGCCTGGGTGGCTCCTGCTGCAATCTGGTGAGTCTCCTCTCTCTCTCCTCCCTTTGGGATGCAGGCGAGGATGCAGGGGGGGGGCCGTGTTCAGATCATGCGTGCCCCCCAGGGTCCTGCGCCCCCTCCTTGCTCTCGGCAAAGCCAGGGGGCGGGTGATTTTGCAGGAGGGCTGCAAGCCTGTCCTTCCTTCATAGCAAAGGCTGCTCACCGCTTTGTGGGGAAACAATGGCTTTCATCCACCCAGACTTGAGTTTGCTGCAATAGCAGAGGCGTCTCCTGGGTGTCCAGAGCCCAGTCTAGTCCTGTTGAGTTTCAGTCAGTCAGGCTGGAGGATGCGGACTAAGTGCTGGGATCAGTCTGAGCCCCTCTTGGAGGATGAGAAAGAGCAGGGAGGGGGGGCTGGCTGGGCCAGGGAGGGGTCAGTGCCTCCCTGCAGGAGTGGGTGCTCCCTTCCTGCTTGGAGGAGGCGGGGTGAATCCGGAATGTGTCCTTTTATTGAAAATGCATCTCTGGGTTATTTGTGGGGCAGAGGAATTCGTTCATCCCCCCCCCCCCAAATATAGTCCTGCCCCCCACAAGGTCTGAGGGACGGTGGACCGGCCCCCTGCTGAAAAAGGTTGTTGACCCCTGTTTAGGCTTTATCTCCCCCCCTATGTGTAGCGGATTCACCCCGCCAACTGCCCCCCATTAAATATAGCAGACCCACCTCGTTACACCCCCCAGTCTCTCTCTCCCCCCCCCAATGCTCCTTCTCCCCACCTCATCTGGTTCCACAGCCACGACTTCTCCTCCGCCACCAAGAAAAGATGGATGAGGCGGTCTTGCCAGAATCCCTCCGCCATCTGTGAGACAGAAAGGTGAATGAGAAGTCAGAGGTGGAGCTGTGCATGGCGAACGAGAGATGGGCCACAGAAAAAGCCTCACGTGCCGAGGGCATTTGGACATTGGCAGCCATTTCTTATTTTAGTTATGTGAAAATTGGTGCACCCTGCTTTGGGCTCTTGGATCCCACCAGTGACCATCAACTAATAAAGGAGTGGATTCACTCCACTAAATGCCCCCCATTAAATATAGCAAACCCACCTCATGATATGCAAATTACACTGTAGCCTTATGAGGCTTTGCCCTCGGGTGGGAAAAATATTTTGCCCGGGAAAGGGAAGTGGGAGTCAACAGACACTCAAGGAATAGTTTCGGAGAAAAGGCTTTTTATTTCTACCATCCATGAACTGGTAGAAGGAGCAAGTGTGGTAAGTCACAAAAAGCATGCACGAGTTCACAATCATGTGCACAAGCATATATACCCCTTCCAGTTCCCTCCTCCTTTCTCCTCCTCCTTCCAGAGTCCTGCCCCATGTTGAGGTTCCTGAGCATGTACAGAAAGCTGTCTTGGGACTATTGTGGCCTCTTGGCACCCTTCCCAGGAAAGGGGGAATGAGAGTAGTTCAGCATGTCCAAAGATGTTGCAACTCTTCCTGGAGAAGAGGGACTAGTGGGGTGCCACAGGGTTCTGTCTTGGGCCCGGTCTTATTCAACATCTTTATCAACGACTTGGATGATGGACTCAAGGGCATCCTGATCAAATTTGCAGATGACACCAAACTGGGAGGGGTGGCTAACTCCCAGAGGACAGGATCACACTTCAAAACGACCTTGACAGATTAGAGAACTGGGCCAAAACAAACAAGATGAATTTTAACAGGAGAAATGTAAAGTATTGCACTCGGGCAAAAAAACGAGACTCACAAATACTCGAAGGGTGACACCTGGCTTGAGAGCAGTACCTGTGAACAGGATCTAGGAGTCTTGGTTGACCACAAACTTGACATGAGCCAACAGTGTGACGCGGCAGCTAAAAAGCCAATGCAATTCTGGGCTGCATCAATAGGAGTATAGCATCTAGATCAAGGGAAGTAATAGTGCCACTGTATTCTGCTCTGGTCAGATCTCACCTGGAGTACTGTGTCCAGTTCTGGGCACCACAGTTCAAGAAGGACACTGACAAACTGGAACGTGTCCAGAGGAGGGCAACCAAAATGGTCAAAGGCCTGGAAACGATGCCTTATGAGGAACGGCTAAGAGAGCTGGGCATGTTTAGCCTGGAGAAGAGGAGGTTAAGGGGTGATATGATAGCCATGTTCAAATATATAAAAGGATGTCACATAGAGGAGGGAGAAAGGTTGTTTTCTGCTGCTCCAGAGAAGCGGACACGGAGCAATGGATGCAAACTACAAGAAAGAAGATTCCACCTAAACATTAGGAAGAACTTCCTGACAGTAAGAGCTGTTCGACAGTGGAATTTGCTGCCAAGGAGTGTGGTGGAGTCTCCTTCTTTGGAGGTCTTTAAGCAGAGGCTTGACAACCATATGTCAGGAGTGCTCTGATGGTGTTTCCTGCTTGGCAGGGGGTTGGACTCGGTGGCCCTTGTGGTCTCTTCCAACTCTATGATTCTATGATTCTAACTAGAGTGAGATAAAAGTCAGTCGCAGGCCTGCTCTGACAGAGTCTATTCATTAGCTTTTTGAAGCATTCTTGTACTGATAAAAAGTAACGGTTTGCCCTTGCCACAGCATCTTGTGAGAAAATCAGAGAAGAGCAGAGAAAAGCTGTTTTGGATTTTTAGAAGACAAAAGGAATTTTGGACAGTTTGAGGCCTGGTTTGGGGGGGGGGGGACTTTGGGCCTAGGCGGGGTCACCTGTCCTCATCTTCATTCCCAACTCTCAATCTTTGGACAGCCTTCTTCACGGCTCGTCCCAAGGTTGGTCACTGATGCTGTCCCAAATTTGGGAGCTGGGAGCTGCCTCCTGCAATTGTTGCTAGGTCAGCCGAGTGTCTCCTTTGACGGGGTGCAGTGGGTATCTGGTCAGAAACCCCATGGTAGGAATTGGGTAGGCTGGGAAGCACACTCCATACCATCCCTGTGGGTGGATATGAGAAGCTTGCCTTCCATAAGCCTGCCTGACACACGTCTGTGAGCAGAGACACTACCTTCCCCTTCTGAAGGCCACACCAAGCCAGAAAGACTTCCTGGCGTGGACTCAGATGTAATGGTTTGGGCTGGGAAGGTACAATTGCAGATTGTCACTGGCTCTCTTTGATTTATTGACACAAAGCCAGCCAGTAATTCGGTGAACCTAGCCTTATCTGTGCCATTTGTGCACAGGGTTATTACCAAGTCGGTGCTGTGGTGCAAGGGGGGCTTCAGTTAAGTTCTGGAGGCTCTGGGTGGAGCTCTGCCAGGTGGAAGCGGGCTGGGGCATAATTTCCCTGATTGAACGTCCCACACAAATACCCTCCTCTGCAGGGGTGTTGTAAAGCTATCCAGGGGCCCTGCAACCTTCTATAAAGTTCAGTTATGCAAAAGGAAAGGAAAGGAAATGAGAAAATGTCCTCTTTCAGTCCATGCTGGATTCTGGAGCCGTGCCAAGCGTCAGCGTGATGCAGGAAGGCAGGGTGGTCATCTCACGGGCGTTGGGCATCTTGGGTCCCTTCCAACAATGCTGGAGCAATGTCTGGGGTGAGTCGAAGGGGCCGGTATAGATCAGGTGTCACAGATGCCGGCGTCCTTAACAGCTGTAGATAACAGGACAGTCTCTGGCCGGTTCACCTGTCAAGAGAAGAGAAAAACAGACACGGCAGCGACTGCGCATTGATAGATAACATTTTGCACATAGGTATAGTTCTAGGGTATGTGGCAGGAAGACTTCACACGTGGAACAGTGCAGGAGGTTAACATGGCAACCCTATTTTGACAGTCCTTTTTTTCTTGGGTTAAGTTTTTTGCCAGCTGAGATTTTTAAAAGTCTTTTTCTCTGCTCTATTTTTTTCAGAGCTTTAAGCTATGTTGCAAATTTCAGTTCATTTGCCAGTGTCTGTAGAAAGAACAACGCACTCCTTGCTTCTGGCAAAGTTTCAAATTCCTCAAAGTATCAGTTCCTATGTTATGCTGCGGCTCCTTTTTCAGAGTAAAATTGCACCTTAAAAAGAAAAATACTTTTGACACAGTTCACAGAAAGCGTTCACTTGCTTTTTAAGAAAGTCACTTTTCCAGGTTAGTGCTTGGGGCAAGGGGGTGGGTAACCCTTGGCCTTCGGATTTATGTCGCTTGACTGTAAATCCTAATTGGCTCCAGGCAGTAGCAGGTCAGAGTAGCTGGCTGAATGCAGCAGTGTCCTTCTGAGATAGCTGCCAAAAGATAAACTACTCCAAGCGCCTGGCACAAGGAGAAAAAAAAAAGGTGATGTCCTGTTACTTGCATGAATGAATGTTAGAAACAGTTAGTTCACTTACTTTGCTGCAACAGTCTTTGAGCAAGAACAGAGATGAGAAGAAATCATTTTTGAGAAATCTTATTGTTCCCAGCCTCTGGGGGTGGGGTGTGCCGGGCGTGGGGCCTGTGGGCATTCCATTTTCCAGTGACCCTCTTGCCTGCAGATGGCGCACTGGTTTCTTCCCTAGGCGTCTTCTGCCCCTCCCGTGGACACCCTCCGGGATTACATTTTTGGCTGCTGGCTGCTTGCCGGCTCTAAGTGCCATCCTCCTCTCTGGCTGTTTCAAGACAAACCCCTAATTATTTTGGCCAGGTCCTCTTCGAAAGAAGGATTCTGATTTAGGGTGCTTGGAGGTCCGTGGTCCTGGGCGTCGGATGACTCCAGGAGGTCGTACACTCGGTGGGGTGGGGCCATCAAAGTGGAGTTTTAGCTGCCTCAATTGCAACATCAGTATTGTCCGCTGCCCTGAGGGCATGTATCTTGCAGATTTTCTCAATGGTCAATATTGTAATCCTAGGGATTTTAACCCCTCGGGTTTTAATTGTCTCTTTTTTTTAACAGTTCTGTCCCATGCGGCTCTCAAAGCCTTCCCTTCTGTTTCTTTCTATCAATTCACATCCTTGCATTGTGCTGCTTCTAGAACTCAAGAAGCCACATCCAGCTCACTCTTTTGGATTGCTTCCTGGCTCTATCTCACGCGGCTCTTTAAAAATCTTCTGCTCTTTTCTTTCTGCCAATTCACATACTGAAATACTCTTTTGGACTGTCTGCTTGTCCATTTCACCTGATTCCTCCTGAATTTCACCATTCTCAACTTCCTCTTCTCTTTCTTCCTCAGTCTCTTTTCTTGGGGGTTGGGTATCCTTAGCCCGGGCAAGGGGGGAAGGACCTGTGTTCTTCTGGGCAGGGGGAAAGGACCAGTGCCCTCACTCATCTGCTCCCAGATTTGGCAACCCTTGTGCAGCAACGGGTGCAGTTGGTGCGTAGGTTGGAGGGGCCAGATTACTCCTTCCTCCTTTGTCTTCTGGGTCTGGCAAGACTGCTGGTTTGTTTTTTTCTAACTTGTACTTGCTGCCATACTGGGCACAGTTTTGGCTTTCACAGTTCTACTTTTCCTAAGCCATGGGGACGGTCAGGAACTTCACATAAGTGTTTGGAGTCTATTTTTCTTAAGGTTTTTTTTAAAAAATCCCCAATCTTCTCCCTTTTGTGGCGTCTGTCCAATTTTTTTCAGGAAAAACATTGCAGGGGGTCGTGGGAGTTGTTTTACTGCTTTTTCTCCATGACCCTGGAACCCTGGAACACTTGGGATACTGGGACACTCCCTCCTCCTAACGTCATTTCTCTCACTCAGTCACAGACCACACGTTGCTTCCAACGTCTCACACACTCAAAACATTCACTGGAGTGTCCCCACACGCACATTCAGAAAAACCCATGCACCTCCCCAAATCCCCTTTTTTTACCAAAACCAACCAACCAACCGGCAGCGCTTAGACTTCGACCGGGGCCCAGCAGCACCCTTTACTGCTTTTTCTGGGCGACACCAAAACCAGTGGCACTTTTTCTGCCCTACTGGTCGGGTTGATCAGGCCCTGTTTGTTTGCTTCCACCTATACCCTGTGGAGCCTACCTTGTTCCTCGAGGTACCTTCTTTCGGCCGTTGCTTTTCTCCGGTCCTTGCAGTGTGTCCACTCGGGAACGGGGGGCAATTCCTCCCCCGAACTTGGCAGGATGTGCACTGGAACTGCTGACACGAACCGAGCTGTTCACCGCAGGGACGCCTTGAACCCACAACCCTTATCCTCAGGGAATCTGTTTTTCCCGGCCAAACGCACCAAGAAAATGTAGCCTTATGAGGCTTTGCCCTCGGGTGGGAAAAATATTGCACCTGGGAAAGGGAAGTGGGAGTCAGCAGACACTCAAGGAATAGTTTTGGAGAAAAGGCTTTTTATTTCTACCATCCATGAACTAGTAGAAGGAGCAAGTGTGATAGTTCACAAAAGCATGCACGAGTTCACAATCATGTGCACAAGCATATATACCCCTTCCAGTTCCCTCCTCCTTTCTCCTCCTTCTTCCAGAGGCCTGCCCCATGTTGAGGTTCCTGAGCATGTACAGAAAGCTGTCTTGGGACTATTGTGGCCTCTTGGCACCCTTCCCAGGAAAGGGGGAATGAGAGTAGTTCAGCATGTCCAAAGATGTTGCAACTAGAGTGAGATAAAAGTCAGTCTCAGGCCTGCTCTGACAGAGTCTATTCATTAGCTTTTTGAAGCATTCTTGTACTGATAAAAAGTAACGGTTTGCCCTTGCCACAGCATCTTGTGAGAAAATCAGAGAAGAGCAGAGAAAAGCTGTTTTGGATTTTTAGAAGACAAAAGGAATTTTGGACAGTTTTGAGGCCTGGTTGGGGGGGACTTTGGGCCTAGGTGGGGTCACCTGTCCTCATCTTCCTTCAACACAAATTTCTGCAATTTCCCACAGGCTACCTTGTGAGGATCTTGTGTGAGGGGAAACTTAGTGATTTAGAGTCTTAGGAAAGAGCCGAACGAACAAGAACAGTTTTATTTACAAAAGAAGAGGTCCATGAAACAAACTTGGGGTCAGGAGGTGCATTCTTTCAAATAAAAGTTGGCTTATTACTTAAACTAAATAGAAAGATCTCACTGTAGTACATGCACAGCTTTTCTTAAACTTCAGTTGCTAAAAGCTCACTTGTTGCACTTCAGTTGGAAGTTCAGGTTTCTACCATAGGAGGTAAAAGAATTCACTCGGTTTCTGTTCATTTACTTAGTTATGACCAGGGTTACACTTAAATACTTTTAATACAGCGCAGCTTCCTTCTCAGCCTAATACTTTGGTTCCTGAGCGAGGGGCATTTTTCGTTCGTCCGCCTCTCTCTTAGCCGTCCCTCTCCTTAAGGATTTCCCACAGACCCAGGGGATCATCTCAGCCCTTGTTCTTGGTTTGGGGGTCTTCTTTTCCTAGCAGATCTCTCCCCTCCTGACTGGAAGGAGACTCTGGTTTAGTCCATCTTCCCACAGCTTCTCCCTCTCCTGCCTCAGACTCAGCCCTCCAGATTAATTCCTGCCTCCATATTCTCCCCAGACCCTCCACTGGGTCGTCTTCCTGTCTAAGCTGTGAGACTCCTTCTTCTGGCTAGAGAGATTCTCCCCAGATCAGAGCCAGTTCTCCCTCAGAAAAGAGCCTCTCCGAAGAATAATAATAATAATAATACCCCTCTCTGATCAGGCCCTGCCCAACTCTCTCCCTCAGAAAGGGCTCCTCGGGTTTTCCCTCCAAAAGGGCTGGCAGCCAATCAGAGAGAGAGAGAGAGAGAGAGGCTCCCGCCCTCTGGTGGAACCTCGGAGGCACTGCACCCCCACACTCTGCTCTGGCTCTGAGGGAAAATACCTCATGGGTTGAAGCAGAAGGAGAAGGCTAGGAAGAAGAAAGGACACAGATAAATTGACCGAGTCTTCTCTTGTCATTTGTATTTCACAATTAGTTTACAGGAATATCTGCAACATATGGTTCATTATTAGAGGTCAGCGCCTGAGATTGAGGCAAATGCTCAAAACTGCAGATTCCAACACCCCCCCCCCCCGTTTCTGGAAGGTCTCTGTGTAACTTGAGGCTTTTTTCCCGTGCTTGAGGCTTTATGTTATTATTATTTTTATTATTGTTTGTTGGTATTTTTACTACTATTACCACTGTTCCAGAGCAGAGTGCCACCATTTTAAAATACTTTAAAACAAATAACAATCAGAGGAATAGGCTGGGTCCTCTGTTGTCAGAGGCCTTGGGAAAGAGGGGGAGGTGCCTGTGTGGGGAGGGAATCCCCCAAGGGGGGTCTGCCCCCAGGATGCCCTCTCTTGGGCCACCCCCACCCCAGACTCTCAAGGGGGTGAAACTACCAAGAGGGCCCCCTCTGCCAAATTTCACAGCCAAAGGGATCTGTAGGGAAGAAGGTGGTTCTTCACATATTGGGGGGGGGGCTAAGTGAACCCCTCCTGAAGGCAGCCCTGTTTAGGGCAGTTTTTAATGTTTAATGCTGTATTGTGTTTTTAATATTTGGTTGGGAGCCTCCCAGAGGGGCTGGGAAACCCAGCCAGATGGGTGGGGTGTAAATAATAAATTCCTATTATTATATTATACTCCTGTGAGAGCTTTGAATTGGACCTGGAAATGAAGGGACCACCAATGCAGCTGTTTTAAAACAGGAATTAAATGTGTTCTCAGGGGTTGCAATGGGAGGGATTCAATGAGATGGGGTAGACCCATGGATGCTCCTTGGAGAAAAAGGGGGGAAATAAATGCCCTTCATAAAGAAAGGAGCCCAGCCAACAATCTGGAGCAGATTCTGAACCATCCTCAAGAGCAGTTCCACTTAGAGGGCATTGCGATGATCCTATCTGATCCACAGCAGAGAGTACCCTGGCCATGTCATCTCTGCTCCAAGGGGACAGTGGTGGGCAAGCTGGCCAGAGCTGGAAAGGGGCACTTCCAAACAGAGAATTTATTTACAATCATAGGAGGAATGTGAGCCCTTCTCACTTGTTTATAGTGCTATCCTTTGGCCCTCAGACCTAAGAAAAAGGGATTCCACCCCAGCAGTTTGTCTTGAGAACTTTGCACATTCCAAGTGGCTAGAAAATGAGACAGAAGCAGGAAGGAAATGGTCACTGAACTGTGGGAGGGAGGGAGAGCAGCTCTTGAGGATCCCACGGTGGGTTGGTTGGTTGGTTGGTTGGTTGGCATCCATTTGTCTCAGGAGACAATGGGAGAGTGTGCCTTTGGGGGTGAGGTCAAACTGTGGGAAGGTTGCAGCGGCTGCAGAGGCCCTAGCCTAGTGTCAAAATTACACTTGTACAAATGACTCACTTGTCAATCACAGTTCTGTCTTCTTTCATTAACTGAAAACACTGAAAGGCAGGAGCAACTAGGCTGATTCATTTTTCAGACCTTCCCAATGTTTCCTGCACATTTTGCATAGTAAGGTCTAGTAGGGCTGGACGCCGGCTTCTCCTTTTCCTTTTTTGAAAAAGAAAGTTCAGAGTCTGGGCTGTGTTGCAGTCCAGCCCTGGTTCCTAATAAGATTCCGGGAATCTTTTTCTTTTCCTGGCTGCGTATCAATTTCATAACAGAACAATGTATTTGCTTTGTAGGATTTGCAAAGGCCTCTACTTAGGACAAACAGAACTTGGTAGTAGGACCAAGAGCTTTCTTCCGATCTCTTGGGGATTCCACAGAGCCCAGATGGATGAATCAGAGTCCGCTGGCCCTGAAGCAGGAAGAGGCCATGCCATCCAAACTGGGAGCAGCGGTGGAATCTGGGAAAACTGTCTGCTGAAGATCCAGGGTGAGGAGAACACCTTCAGCTCAGAAGGACCTCGAGAGGTTTGCAGCCGACTCTGCAACCTTGACCATCAGTGGCTGAAGCCAGAAAGACACACAAAAGCTGAGATGCTGGATCTTGTGATCTTGGAGCAGTTCCTGGCTGTCCTTCCGCCAGAGATGGAGAGGTGGGTGCGGGAATGTGGAGCCCAGACCAGTTCCCAGGCGGTGGCCCTGGCCGAAGGATTCCTCCTGAGTCAGGCAGAGGAGAGGAAGCAGGCAGAGCAGCAGGTGAGAGAGACTTTCCCCTGGATATTCCAGAGGGGCTCTGAACATGAGAGAGAGTATCCCAAAATTCTCTCTTAATCCCCCAATCTTATTTGGAAAGCCTCCAAGGAATGAGATCGGATACCCCTAAAGCTTTTTCCTCTCCCAGTCCTTTTCTAATGTTTCTCTCCATTCTCTGCTTCCAATCCCTTTTGCCCTTTTAGGGAAAGATTATCTTTGCAGAAACGGGCCTGGATTCCTCTGAGGCAGAGATGACTCCATTGGACGCCAAAGAGAGACCACTGGGTAAGGAGGAAGGAGGGTTTTTCCCATTTGGTCACACATTCTGTAGATTTTGCTACTAATATGTGGGTCCCCCCCCCAACATTTTGGGGAGGACACTAGGGGCTAAGAGCCCAAAGTGGGGACATGTATTTTTACCTAGCTAAGATACAAATGTCAAAATGCACTCAGTAGGTGAGACTTTTTTACAGGCCCACCTGTAGTTAGAGATGCACTGCTTCACCTCTAAGAGGAGCATGTGAAAATGGCCTGCCACTTGCCTTTGTCTCTCACAGGTGACAGAATGATGCTGGCAAGAGATGCTTATCCATCTTTGCATGAAGGCAGAGATGTAGCAGCCACGGAACCAGATCAGGTAGGGAGAATGAAGGATTGTGGCGAAAGAGTCCCTAATGAATCTCTCTCCTCCTTCTCTTGGCTGTAAAGGCCATTGCAGGAGCCTTATGTTCTGAGAATGGTGAACAATCACCTCACGTTGACTAGCCTCCTGAATGTTGCTAATACAGTGGTACCTCTGGTTATGTACTTAATTCGTTCTGGAGGTCCATTCTTAACCTGAAACTGTTCTTAACCTGAAGCACCACTTTAGCTAATGGGGCCTCCTGCTGCCGCTGCGCCGCCGGAGCACGATTTCTGTTCTTATCCTGAAGCAAAGTTCTTAACCTGAAGCACTATTTCTGGGTTAGCGGAGTCTTTAACCTGAAGCGTATGTAATACAAGGTACCACTATTATTTGTCAGTAGTTGCAGTTTTATTTACAGAGTTAACATTTAATGCTAAAATAGGCTTCTAAATAGTTGACAAATCATAAAAACAGTGGCCAGAATTCACCTTTCCCCTCATTCCCCTCCCCATGACCCGCAGTACCCCCTGAAGTTGACTTTAATGCATTGTGAAGGTTCCCCCCACCTCCAGAACAGTAGCTGGGGAGAGCCAAGAGAGGATCCTTCCATCTGGGAAACTGGAATCGATGAGCAGAGAGAATTACCGTATTTTTCGCTCTATAACACACACCTGACCATAACACGCACATAGTTTTTAGAGGAGGAAAACAAGAAAAAAATTCTGAAAGAAATAGTGGATGTATCATTTTTGTGCTTCATGCTGTGGCCACAGACATGTGATTTGACGGTGAGTTTGGGGTAGCCCAAAGCAAAAATCCTGAGAATCCATGTGGATCTGCGCATTGTAACCACGTTTTGCACCATTGCAGCCCCAGGCAACAGCGGGTGCGTGATTTTTTTGGTGCAGGCTGTAGCCATGGACATGCTATGTGATCTGATGGTGAATTTGGGGTGACCCAATGCAAAGATCCTGAGGATCCATGTGGATCCATGCTTGTAACCACGTTTTTGCACCATTGCAGCCCCAGGCAACAGTGGGTGCGTGGTTTTTGGTGCAGGCTGTAGCCATGGACATGCTTTGTGATCTGATGGTGAATTTGGAGTGACCCAATGCAAAGATCCTGAGGATCCATGTGGATCCGTGCTTTGTAACCACGTTTTAAGTGGGGAGGGAAGGAAAAACAGAAGGGACAAGGAGCACAAGAGGGGTGTGCAGAGAAGCAGCTGGCTAACAATGCAGGAGAGGGGTTTAACGGGAGGGAGGAAAGGAAGGCAAAAGTTCCCCCCTCCCAAGCCAGCCTCCCCCCTCTCTCCCAGCTGCATGTTTTCCGGCTGCCTGCGAGTCCCTAGAATGCTGGACGCAGCACCGGAGCACGGAGAGGAGGAGGTGGTGGCTGTCGGTTGCGCTCCTAGCCGACGGAACCTGAGCCGGGTGGGCGGGAGCCTGCACGCAGTGTGACTAGGAAGGGATTAGAAGGAAGGACGCGATCCTTTCCTTTCCCCTCTGCTTGCCAGGAGGGCAGGGGATTTTCCTGCTCTTTGTTGCGTTTGAGCAAACACTGCAACCGAAAACAGAAGCGGGTGGGCAGTAAGACCCTGAGGCAGAATGCAGGAAAGCAGCAGCTTCGCTTCTGCAGCCTTCCCTCCTCCGCGCGATCTGATTTTTGCCTGATTTTTGCCCCTGCACTCGGGCTAGTCGGCTCCAGGGACCACACGTTCGCTCAATAACACGCACAGACATTTCCCCTTACTTTGTAGGAGAAAAAATGTGCGCCTTATAGAGAGAAAAATACGGTATTTGAAGATCACCATGTGGCATTCCATTCATTCCCCCAAAAGCTTAATACCAGTCATTAAAATACACACAAAAATACCCAGTTTTGTTAAAACATTAAAATATGCATCCATAATTAAAAATGTACAGTAAAACAATTACATTAAAACAAAACAGCAATGAACAGGCAGAAAACAACAGAGCAATGTGTAGTAGATAATCTGTATGTTGTCTAAGAAGGGGACCTTTCCCTTTTTATTTTAGGGTCTGGTGTGCTTTGAAGATGTAGCTGTTCATTTCACAGATGAGGAATGGGAGTTGCTGGATCCTGACCAAAGAGCTCTGTATAAGGAAGTAATGGAGGAGAATCGTGGGATCATGGATTCTCTTGGTAAGGCTGCCTTTTGGATTACAATATCTCTTTTGGAATTCTTTTTGAAATTCAGTCCCTGAGGCTGTGATCCGTTTCTTTATTGTTGCAGATGGTGATGAATCAGAAAGGAAGAATGAGGGACACCAAATCTACACAATGGAGAAGCGGTATCAATATTTGGAGCGTATAGAAAACTTCAGAAGAATTCATACAGGGGAGAAACCCTATCAGTGCTTGGAATGTGGAAAGAGCTTCAGTCGGAAGGATCATCTCACTTTTCATCAAAGAATTCATACAGGGGAGAAACCATATCAGTGCTTGGAATGTGGAAAGAGCTTCATTCAGAAATCCTATCTCCGTTCCCATCAAAGAATTCACAGCGTGGAGAAACCCTATAAGTGCTTGGAATGTGGAAAGAGCTTCGCTTGGAAGGTCAATCTAACAGCCCATGAAAGAATTCATACAGGGGAGAAACCATATCAGTGCTTGGAATGTGGAAAGAGCTTCAGTTGGTACTACAATCTCAGTTCTCATCAAAGAACTCACGGCAAGGACAAATCGTATCAGTGCTTGGAATGTGGAAAGAGCTTCAGTCGGAAGGATAATCTCAATCTTCATCAAAGAATTCATACAGGGGAGAAACCATATCAGTGCTTGGAATGTGGAAAGAGCTTCATTCGGAAATCCTATCTCCGTTCCCATAAAAGAACTCACAGCGTGGAGAAACCCTATAAGTGCTTGGAATGTGGAAAGAGCTTCGCCTGTAAGGTCAGTCTAACAGCCCATGAAAGAATTCATACAGGGGAGAAACCATATCAGTGCCTGGAATGTGGAAAGAGCTTCATCCGGAAGATAAGTCTCACAGGCCATCAAAGAACTCACAGCAAGGAGAATCCCTATAAGTGCATGAAATGTGGAAAGAGCTTCAGTCAGAAGCATCATTTCACTCTTCATCAAAGAATTCATACTGGAGAGAAACCATATCAGTGTTTGGAATGTGGAAGGAGCTTCACCCGGGAGGACAGTCTGACTTCCCATCAAAGAATTCATACAGGGGAGAAATTATATCAGTGCTTAGAATGTGGAAAGAGGTTCAGTCAGAGTGCCCATCTCACAACCCATCAAAGAATTCATACAGGGGAGAAACCATATCAGTGTTTGGAATGTGGAAAGAGCTTCATCCAGAAAAGAAGTCTCACAGGCCATAAAGTAATTCATACAGGGAGAAACCATATCAGTGTTTGGAATGTGGAAAGAGCTTCATCCAGAAAAGAAGTCTCACATCCCATCAAACAACTCATACAGCGGAAAAGGCATTTCAGTGCTTGGAATGTGGAAAGAGCTTCATTCGGAAGGAAAGTCTGACTTCCCATCAAAGAATTCATACAGGGGAAAACCGTATAAGTGCTTGCAATGTGGAAAAAGCTTCAGTCAGAAGAGCAGTCTCACTTCACATGAAAGAAGTCACAGCGAGAAGAAAGCATATCAGTGCATGGAATGTGGGAAGAGCTTTAGCCGGAAGGATTGTCTGGCTTCACATCAAAGAACTCATACAGGGGAGAAGCCCTTTGAGTGCTTGGAATGTGGGAAGAGCTTCATTCAAAGAGCAGGTCTCGTGTACCATCAAAGAATCCATACAGGGGAGAAGCTGTTTGAGTGCTTGGAATGTGGGAAGAGCTTCACTCATAAAGCAGATTTCATGCGGCATCAAAGAATCCATACAGGGGAGAAGCCCTTTGAGTGCCTGGAATGTGGGAAGAGATTCAGTCAGAGAATTGGTCTCGTGTCCCATCAAAGAACCCATACAGGGGAGAAGCCCTTTGAGTGCTTGGAATGTGGGAAGAGCTTCACTCATAAAGCATCTCTCATGCGGCATCAAAGAATCCATACAGGGGAGAAGCCCTTTGAGTGCTTGGAATGTGGGAAGAGATTCAGTCAGAGAATTGGTCTCGTGTCCCATCAAAGAATCCATACAGGGGAGAAGCCATTTCAGTGTTTGGAATGTGGAAAGAGCTTCACACAGAAGTTAAATCTCAGTTTCCATCAAAGAATTCATACAGGTGAGAAGCCATTTCAGTGCTTGGAATGTGGAAAGAGCTTCAGTCGGTACTCCCATCTCAGTTCGCATCAAAGAACTCATAGCAAGGACAAACCATATCAGTGCATGGAATGTGGAAAGAGCTTCGCTTGGAAGGTCAATCTAACAGCCCATGAAAGACTTCATACAGGGGAGAAACCATATCAGTGCTTGGAATGTAAAAAAAGGTTCAGTCAGAGCGCCCAGCTCTCCGTCCATCAAAGAATTCACACAGGGGACAAATGATACCAGTGCTCAGAATGTGGAAAGAGCTTCATTCGAAGCACCCATCTCACTTCCCAGCAAATAATTCATACAGCGGACCAGTCTTCCAGAACTGGAAGACTGGGGAAATATCATCAAAGGAACTGAAGGAGGTGGGGTCAGGTGTCCCTGTAGGCGGATGGGGCTTTTCCCGCGGGTGGGAAAAATATTGCGCCTGGAAAAGGAAAATGGGAGTCAACAGACACTCAAGGAATAGTTTCGGAGAAACAGCTTTATTTCTACCATCCATGAACTGGTAGAAGGAGCAAGTGTGATAGTTCACAAAACAAGCATGAGTTCACAGCCATTTCCCTTCCAGTTCCCTCCCCTTTCTCCTCATCCTCTTTTCTTGGGAGTTGGGGATCCTTAGCCTGTGCAAGGGGGGGAAGGACCTGTGTCCATCTGGGCAGGGGGAAAGGACTAGTGCCCTCACCCTCACCTGCTCCCAGATTTGGCAACCCTTGTGCAGCAACAGGTGCAATTGGTGCGTAGGTTGGAGGGGCCAAATTACTCCTTCCTCCTTTTCTCCTGGGACTGACAAGACTGGTGGGTTTTTAAAACTTGTACTTGCTGCCATACTGAACACAGTTTGGCTTGGGTAGTTACAGTTCTACTTTTCCTAAGCCATGGGGGACGGTCAGGCAACTTCACATAAGTGTTTCACCAGGTATTAAATCCTCAATCATCTACTTTCGTGGCGTCTTTCCAATTTGTTTAGGAAACATCGCAGGGGGGTCGTGGGAGTTGTTTTACTGCTTTTTCTTCATGACCCCGGGACCCTGGAACACTTGGACACTGGGACACTCAGAATGTGGAAAGAGCTTCATTCGAAGCGCCCATCTCACTTCCCAGCAAATAATTCATACAGCGGACCAGTCTTCTAGAACTGGAAGACTGGGGAAATATCATCAAAGGAACTGAAGGAGGTGAGGACAGGTGACCCCACCTAGGCCCGAAGTCATCCCCGCCCTCAATAATCACCCCAGGCGTCAACACTGTCCAAAATTCCTTTTGTCTTCTAAAAAAAATCCAAAACAGCTTTTCTCTGCTCTTCTCGGCTTTTCTCACAAGATGCATAGGAAAAATGTTATTCTTTTATCGGTACGAGAAGGCTTCAAAAAGCTAATGAATAGGCTCTGTCATTGCCAAGAATACTCAAGCCTGAGAACTGACTTTTATCTCATTCAGTTGCAACATCTTTGGACATGCTGAACCGCTCTCATTCCCCTTTCCTGGGAAGGGTGCCAAGAGTCCAAAATAGTCCCGAGACAGGAACTTTCTGTTCATGCTAAGGAGACACATGGGGCAGAAACTTTTAAGAAGTTGGAGAAAGAGGAGGGAACTGGAAGGGAAATATATACTCTGTGCAAATGGCTGTGAACTCGTGCTTGTTTGTGAACTATCACACTTGCTCCTTCTACCAGTTCATGGATGGTAGAAATAAAGCTTTTTCTTCGAAACTATTCCTTGAGTGTCTGTTGACTCCCATTTTCCCTTTCCCGGGCAAATATTTTTTCCCACCCGAGGGCAAAGCCTCATAAGGCTACAGAACAAAGGTAAGAGAAGCTGATGAACTATGCAGAGTTGGCAAAGCTAACAGATAAACTGTCGGGAAAAAGACAATAGTGACTTTGAAAAAGAATGGGAACCTTTTACATCATATCTGCAGAAACATCAACAAAAAGAGTCATTGGCAGGATTTAAATAAACATTTGCAATTTTATTTCCAAAAAATAGGAAACTTAATATGACAATATAGAAGTAAATATAAACAGCAGAATGTAATATAAGATGTAATAAACCAGTGATGGAAGTTGAGGGAAGTCCGCAGGGAAGGGGAAAATTGAAATCTGAATGTAATGTAATGATTATAGACATTGTTAAAAAATAAAAATCTAAAAAAAAAGATTAAAAAAATAGAATTCATACAGCGGAGAAACCATATAAGAGCTTCAGTTGGAAGAGAAGTCTCACTTCACATAAAAGAACTCACAGGGAGGAGACACCATATAAGTGCTTGGAATGTGGGAAGAGCTTTGCCCGGAAGACAAGTCTCACAGCCCATGGAAGAATTCCCACAGGGGACAAAGCCTAATGGTGCTCAGAATGTGGACGGAGCTTCGGTCAGAGAGCCCAACTCACTTCCCATCAAATAATTCATAAAGGGGGAAACCATTCAGTTATTGCAATGCGGAAAGAGCTTCAATGAGTGTGACAATCCCGCTTCCCATCAAAGGATGCCTATCAGGAGAGGCATAGAAACAGAGAATTGTAGAGTTGGAAGGGACTACCAGGGCCATGGCAATGCTGGAATGTCTGCTGAAGCATGCCTGACAGATAGTCGTTTAACCTCTGGTGATGAACCTGCAAGGAAGGAGAGGTCACCATCAGAATTTTCTTCCTGATGTGTAGCCATTTGGATCCTACCCTCTGGAGCAGCAGAAAACAAGCTTGCTCCATCTTCCATGTGACCCTTGATCATCTTGGTCACCCTCCTCTGCACATGTTCTAGCTTGTCAATATCCTTCTTATATTGTCGTGCCCAAAACTGGACACAGAACTCTGGTGGAGTCTAACCAAGTTAGAATACAGCATGACTATTTCTTCCCTCAATCCAGACACCGCGCTTCGGTTGTTGCAGCCTAGAATAGGATCAGCTCTTTTTTGCTGCTGCTGCTGCTGCATTGCACTGCTGAAGAGGAGAAGGGAGAGTGGAAGAATGAAAAGTCTTTGAGTGGTTCATGGGTGTTCTATCCAAGGGAAACTGACCACCGCACCAGCCGGAGAACTTCCTTAGTGCTCAGGTCCCCAGCTGTCAGGAAGGGAAGGCAGGATCAGCACCAGGGAGAGGATCGGAGGCGTGTGCTTCAAGGCCACAGCTAGAAAGCCAGCAGCAGAGGGAGAACATGCATGTTGTCTTGTGTGAAAACAACTCAAGTAAAAGCCTCACTATTTTGGAATCTCAACTCTCATGGATAGTAATGGGGTTACCAATTCTCCTACTCGAACTCAAGCAACTAAGTTTATGGAGGATTTTTTCCAAGAGCTTTTGATACTTTGGGAAGGACTCTAGCAAATTCATCAGGTAATAGCCAGTCAAGGGTGACCAGACCGGCTTTATAAAAGCGAGACAAACGGCAGATAATATTAGATTAGTGGTGGATTTGGTAGATCAAAATAAAGATAAAGACCAGTTTGTAATTATATCGCTAGATGCTGAAAAGGCTTTTGACAAAATCCGTAAACAGTACATGGAAGTAGCTTTACTTAAATTTGAATTTCCTTTGGATATCTTAAAAGGGATTAAAGTAATCTATGAAGCACCTACGTCAAGAGTCAAAGAGAATGGTAATCTCTCTGCCACCTTTCCTCAGGGCTGAGGAACCAAACAAGGCTGTCCTATCTCGCCATCGCTTTTTAATATCTGCTTAGAACGCTTGGCTTTCACCATGAGACGACACTGAGATTCACAGAGTAGTTCACAATACATTTGAATATAAACTAGTTTTATTGTTTATTTCAAATGATAGATGCTTTTGGTAAAATATCAGGTTATTCTATTCTATTATTCTGTTAATTGGTCCAATCGAAATTGATGCCAGTAGGCCAAAATCTGATTGCACATTCCTTCAAGGAATATCAATTCCAGATTTGTTCCAAATCTCTACAATATATAGGCAACTTAATACCAAGAGATAAAAAAAATAAGTCACACTTAATATAAATAAAATAATAAAAGAGATTTCTTCATATATTGATATACAGAAGTCATTGAACCTTACACTTTGGAGAAGGTGGAATGTTCTCAAAATGAATATAATTCCCAGATTAATTTATATTTTGAGAGGACTTGCAGTTTCTATATCTCATGTTTTCAAATGATAAACTCCCTGTTTAGGAAATGCCTTTATATTTATCTACTTTATACATATCTACTGTCATGTATTAAATACTGGAAACTCATTGTTGGTCTTAATTTTCCGACGTGGGTGACCTTAGAATAGGCACATACAGCCCCTTTGGTGGGCTGGAGAAGACAGTCATACCTCGGGTTAAATGTGCTTCAGGTTGATCGCTTTTGGGTTTCGCCATTCGCGCATGTGCAGACGGTCAAAATGACGTCACGTGCATGCGCGGAAGTGGCGAATCGGGACCTGCACATGCGCAGATGCAGGTTGCGTTCGCTTCTGGATGCGAACGGGGCTCCGGAACGGATCCTGTTCGTATCCAGAGGTACCACTGTACTAGGATCAAAATATTTGAAATCCCAGGTGACTCTAGAAACAACTAAGTCAGTTAGAAAGATATGGAACATGTTGTCTAATATAAATAAAGTTGATCTATACTCGCATGCCAAACTTGCCCTGTGGGGAAACCCTATATTAAAAATTGCTAAAAAGCTGGTACTATGGAAAAAAATAATGGAAACAGGTGTATTGACTCTGGACCAAGTGATAGAAACTAGAAAGCCAGGGAATACTTTTTACACCTACCTACTAACAATAAAGGGACGCGGGTGGCACTGTGGGTTAAACCACAGAGCCTAGGACTTGCCGATCAGAAGGTCGGCAGTTCGAATCCCTGCGACGGGGTGAGCTCCCGTTGCTCGATCCCAGCTCCTGCCAACCTAGCAGTTCGAAAGTACATCAAAGTGCAAGTAGATAAATAGGTAACACTCCAGCGGGAAGGTAAACGGCGTTTCCTTGCGCTGCTCTGGTTCGCCAGAAGTGGCTTAGTCCTGCTGGCCACATGACCCGGATGCTGTTCGCCGGCTCCCTGGGCCAATAAAGCAAGATGAGCGCCGCAACCCCAGTATCGGCCACGACTGGACCTAATGGTCAGGGGTCCCTTTACCTTTACCTTTTTAATACAAAATGTACTGGGCTAAAGATGTTTACATTAGTATTATGATAATAATATCGTATTTATGGGTTAGGATATACATGTAACCCCCCCTTTTTAGAAAACTACAACATACAAGTTGTCTCGGGTGGCCTGGAATTACCAATGGATGTGGCTCACTATTCGCTAACCTTAGGCTCCGCCCCTTGAATGCTCCACCTCGACACTTAAAGCCTGTGCCTCCTCTAGGACAGTTGTCCCCAAAGTGAGCGACACCCCCCTGAAGGGGTTTGTTCCTGGGGGGCACTAAGAGGCAAAAGGGTGGCAGTGTACACAACTCCCAGACGTTGAAAAGCTGATACCACTTAATCAAGTTCATTGGTTTTGTCATGAGTTAATTAAACTACGTATATTTAATTGGATTTTGAATAAATGCAACCGTTGCTGTTTAGAATTTTATTGTATTTATCTGGTAGGAGGCAATGGGGTGTTGGGGGGGCAGCGGCCCTAAAATGTTTGGGAACCGCTATCTAGGACCTGAGGGACATGGGTGGCACTGTGGGTTAAACCACAGAGCCTTGGACTTGCTGATCAGAAGATCAGTGGTTCGAATCCCCACAATGGGGTGAGCTCCTGTTGTTCAGTCCAAGCTCCTGCCAACCTAGCAGTTCGAAAGCACGTCAAAGTGCAAGTAGATAAATAGGTACCGCTCCGGCGGGAAGGTAAACGGCATTTCTGTGCATGGCTCTGGTTCTCCAGAAATGGCTTAGTCCTGCTGGCCACATGACCCAGAAGCTGTACGCCGACTCCCTAGGCCAATAAAGCGAGATGAGCGCCACAACCCCGTAGTCGGCCACGACTGGACCTAACGGTCAGGGGTCCCTTTACCTTTACCTAGGACCTGGGACTTCAGACCCTCAGGACATCTCCTCAGGGTCTCAACCCTCTGAGGCATCTGTAGACCAGTGGATTACAGTGGCAGAGGTGTCTTCCTGGGCGTCCAGGATCAGGCCCCCAGAAGACTGGAAGGAAGGAAGGGGGTGGGACAGGCACGCTGCCTTGAAGGGGTGGGACTCCCCCTACACCCACCCCCTTCAACTCGCCAGGCCCGCAGCCTTGCGGGGAAGGGCGACCCGTGAACGGGACTCAGCTGCACGTGGGATCTGGTTCCTTCTTGTCTGGTTTTGGCTACAGCCAAGCAGGAGGCAAGGCTGGGGATGAAAGGAGATGCAGCCCGGGGGGGGGGGGCACGCTTCCCCTGCAAGCTCTTTCAGGCCAAGGGAGAGACCAGCTCAGATCCCGCAAAACACAGCATCGGGGGGGGGGGGCAGCAATGCGCGGGGCTCCTCCTGCGCTCCGGCTCTGGAGCAAGAAAACGCAGAGAGGGGTGGGGATGAGCTTGGGATGTTTGGCTCGCCAAGGGTTAAAAGGACCTGAGCCGAATTCCTAGAGAGGAGATGAAGAATGGCGGGGGGGGGGCAGGTCACTTCCTGCAAGCGGGGCGGGGATGTTTTGTGCGTCTCCTTTGCAAGCTTCGCTGCCTGGGTGGCTCCTGCTGCAATCTGGTGAGTCTCCTCTCTCTCTCCTCCCTTTGGGATGCAGGCGAGGATGCAGGGGGGGGGGCCGTGTTCAGATCATGCGTGCCCCCCAGGGTCCTGCGCCCCCTCCTTGCTCTCGGCAAAGCCAGGGGGCGGGTGGTTTTGCAGGAGGGCTGCAAGCCTGTCCTTCCTTCATAGCAAAGGCTGCTCACCGCTTTGTGGGGAAACAATGGCTTTCATCCACCCAGACTTGAGTTTGCTGCAAAAGCAGAGGCGTCTCCTGGGTGTCCAGAGCCCAGTCTAGTCCTGCGGAGTTTCAGTCAGTCAGGCTGGAGGATGCGGACTAAGTGCTGGGATCAGTCTGAGCCCCTCTTGGAGGATGAGAAAGAGCAGGGAGGGGGGGCTGGCTGGGCCAGGGAGGGGTCAGTGCCTCCCTGCAGGAGTGGGTGCTCCCTTCCTGCTTGGAGGAGGCGGGGTGAATCCGGAATGTGTCCTTTTATTGAAAATGCATCTCTGGGTTATTTGTGGGGCTGAGGAATTCGTTCATCCCCCCCCCCAAATATAGTCCTGCCCCCCACAAGGTCTGAGGGACGGTGGACCGGCCCCCTGCTGAAAAAGGTTGTTGACCCCTGTTTAGGCTTTATCCCCCCCCCCATGTGTAGCGGATTCACCCCGCCAACTGCTCCTCATTAAATATAGCAGACCCACCTCGTTACACATCCCAGTCTCTCCCCCCCCATGCTCCTCCCCACCTTATCTGGTTCCACAGCCGTGACTTCTCCTCCGCCACCAAGAAAAGATGGATGAGGCGGTCTTGCCAGAATCCCTCCGCCATCTGTGAGACAGAAAGGTGAATGAGAAGTCAGAGGTGGAGCTGTGCATGGCGAACGAGAGATGGGCCACAGAAAAAGCCTCACGTGCCGAGGGCATTTGGACATTGGCAGCCATTTCTTATTTTAGTTATGTGAAAATTGGTGCACCCTGCTTTGGGCTCTTGGATCCCACCAGTGACCATCAACTAATAAAGGAGTGGATTCACTCCACTAACTGCCCCCCATTAAATATACCAGACCCACCTCATGATATGCAAATTACACTGTAGCCTTATGAGGCTTTGCCCTCGGGTGGGAAAAATATTGCGCCTGGGAAAGGGAAGTGGGAGTCAACAGACACTCAAGGATTAGTTTTGGAGAAAAGGCTTTTTATTTCTTCCATCCATGAACTGGTAGAAGGAGCAAGTGTGATAGTTCACAAAAAGCATGCACGAGTTCACAATCATGTGCACAAGCATATATACCCCTTCCAGTTCCCTCCTCCTTTCTCCTCCTTCTTCCAGAGTCCTGCCCCATGTTGAGGTTCCTGAGCATGTACAGAAAGCTGTCTTGGGACTATTGTGGCCTCTTGGCACCCTTCCCAGGAAAGGGGGAATGAGAGTAGTTTAGCATGTCCAAAGATGTTGCAACTCTTCCTGGAGAAGAGTGACTAGTGGGGTGCCACAGGGTTCTGTCTTGGGCCCGGTCTTATTCAACATCTTTATCAACGACTTGGATGATGGACTCAAGGGCATCCTGATCAAAATTGCAGATGACACCAAACTGGGAGGGGTGGCTAACATCCCAGAGGACAGGATCACACTTCAAAACAACCTTGACAGATTAGAGAACTGGGCCAAAACAAACAAGATGAATTTTAACAGGGAGAAATGTAAAGTATTGCACTTGGGCAAAAAAATGAGAGGCACAAATACAAGATGGGTGACACCTGGCTTGAGAGCAGTACATGTGAAAAGGATCTAGGAGTCTTGGTTGACCACAAACTTGACATGAGCCAACAGTGTGACGCGGCAGCTAAAAAGCCAATGCAATTCTGGGCTGCATCAATAGGAGTATAGCATCTAGATCAAGGGAAGTAATAGTGCCACTGTATTCTGCTCTGGTCAGACCTCACCTGGAGTACTGTGTCCAGTTCTGGGCACTACAGTTCAAGAAGGACACTGACAAACTGGACCGTGTCCAGAGGAGGGCAACCAAAATGGTCAAAGGCCTGGAAACGATGCCTTATGAGGAACGGCTAAGGGAGCTGGGCATGTTTAGCCTGGAGAAGAGGAGGTTAAGGGGTGATATGATAGCCATGTTCAAATCTATAAAAGGATGTCACATAGAGGAGGGAGAAAGGTTGTTTTCTGCTGCTCCAGAGAAGCGGACACGGAGCAATGGATCCAAACGACAAGAAAGAAGATTCCACCTAAACATTAGGAAGAACTTCCTGACAGTAAGAGCTGTTCGACAGTGGAATTTGCTGCCAAGGAGTGTGGTGGAGTCTCCTTCTTTGGAGGTCTTTAAGCAGAGGCTTGACAACCATATGTCAGGAGTGCTCTGATGGTGTTTCCTGCTTGGCAGGGGGTTGGACTCGGTGGCCCTTGTGGTCTCTTCCAACTCTATGATTCTAACTAGAGTGAGATTAAAGTCAGTCTCAGGCCTGCTCTGACAGAGTCTATTCATTAGCTTTTTGAAGCATTCTTGTACTGATAAAAAGTAACGGTTTGCCCTTGCCAAAGCATATTTTGAGAAAATCAGAGAATAGCAGAGAAAAGCTGTTTTGGATTTTTAGAAGACAAAAGAAATTTTGGACAGTTTGAGGCCTGGTTGGGGGGGGGACGACTTTGGGCCTAGGTGGGGTCACCTGTCCTCATCTTCATTCCCAACTCTCAGTCTTTGGACAGCCTTCTTCAAGGCTCGTCCCAAGGTTGGTCACTGATGCTGTCCCAAATTTGGGAGCTGGGAGCTGCCTCCTCCAATTGTTGCTAGGTCAGCCGAGCGTCTCCTTTGACGGGGTGCAGTGGGTATCTGGTCAGAAACCCCATGGTAGGAATTAGGTAGGCTGGGAAGCACACTCCATACCATCCCTGTGGGTGGATATGAGAAGCTTGCCTTCCATAAGCCTGTCTGACACACGTCAGTGAGCAGAGACACTACCTTCCCCTTCTGAAGGCCACACCAAGCCAGAAAGACTTCCTGGCCTGGACTCAGATGTAATGGTTTGGGCTGGGAAGGTACAATTGCAGATTGTCACTGGCTCTTTGATTTATTGACACAAAGCCAGCCAGTAATTCGGTGAACCTAGCCTTATCTGTGCCATTTGTGCACAGGGTTATTACCAAGTCGGTGCTGTGGTGCAAGGGGGGCTTCAGTTAAGTTCTGGAGGCTCTGGGTGGAGCTCTGCCAGGTGGAAGTGGGCTGGGGCATAATTTCCCTGATTGAACGTCCCACACAAATACCCTCCTCTGCAGGGGTGTTGTAAAGCTATCCAGGGGCCCTGCAACCTTCTATAAAGTTCAGTTATGCAAAAGGAAAGGAAAGGAAATGAGAAAATGTCCTCTTTCAATCCACGCTGGATTCTGGAGCCGTGCCAAGCGTCAGCGTGATGCAGGAAGGCAGGGTGGTCATCTCACGGGCGTTGGGCATCTCGGGTCCCTTCCAACAATGCTGGAGCGATGTCTGGGGTGAGTCGAAGGGGCCGGTGTAGATCAGGTGTCACAGATGCCGGCGTCCTTAACAGCTGTAGATAACAGGACAGTCTCTGGCCGGTTCACCTGTCAAGAGAAGAGAAAAACAGACACGGCAGCAACTGCGCATTGATAGATAACATTTTGCACATTGGTATAGTTCTAGGGTATGTGGCAGGAAGACTTCACACGTGGAACAGTGCAGGAGGTTAACATGGCAACCCTATTTTGACAGTCCTTTTTTTCTTGGGTTAAGTTTCTTGCCAGCTGCGATTTTTAAAAGTCTTTTTCTCTGCTCTATTTTTTTCAGAGCTTTAAGCTATGTTGCAAATTTCAGTTCATTTGCCAGTGTCTGTAGAAAGAACAGTGCACTCCTTGCTTCTGGCAAAGTTTCAAATTCCTCAAAGTATCAGTTCCTATGTTATGCTGCGGCTCCTTTTTCAGAGTAAAATTGCACCTTAAAAAGAAAAATACTTTTGACAAAGTTCACAGAAAGCGTTCACTTGCTTTTTTAAGAAAGGCACTTTTCCAGGTTAGTGCTTGGGGCAAGGGGGTGGGTAACCCTTGGCCTTCGGATTTATGTCGCTTGACTGTAAATCCTAATTGGCTCCAGGCAGTAGCAGGTCAGAGTAGCTGGCTGAATGCAGCAGTGTCCTTCTGAGATAGCTGCCAAAAGATAAACTACTCCAAGCGCCTGGCACAAGGAGGAAAAAAAAAGGTGATGTCCTGTTACTTGCATGAATGAATGTTAGAAACAGTTAGTTCACTTACTTTGCTGCAACAGTCTTTCAGCAAGAACAGAGATGAGAAGAAATCATTTTTGAGAAATCTTATTGTTCCCAGCCTGTGGGGGTGGGGTGTGTCGGGCGTGGGGCCTGTGGGCATTCCATTTTCCAGTGACCCTCTTGCCTGCAGATGGCGCACTGGTTTCTTCCCTAGGCGTCTTCTGCCCCTCCCGTGGACACCCTCCGGGATTACATTTTTGGCTGCTGGCTGCTTGCCGGCTCTAAGTGCCATCCTCCTCTCTGGCTGTTTCAAGACAAACCCCTAATTATTTTGGCCAGGTCCTCTTCGAAAGAAGGATTCTGATTTAGGGTGCTTGGAGGTCCGTGGTCCTGGGCGTCGGATGACTCCAGGAGGTCGTACACTCGGTGGGGTGGGGCCATCAAAGTGGAGTTTTAGCTGCCTCAATTGCAACATCAGTATTGTCCGCTGCCCTGAGGGCATGTATCTTGCAGATTTTCTCAATGGTCAATATTGTAATCCTAGGGATTTTAACCCCTCGGGTTTTAATTGTCTCTTTTTTTTAACAGTTCTGTCCCATGCGGCTCTCAAAGCCTTCCCTTCTGTTTCTTTCTGTCAATTCACATCCTTGCATTGTGCTGCTTCTAGAACTCAAGAAGCCACATCCAGCTCACTCTTTTGGATTGCTTCCTGGCTGTATCTCACGTGGCTCTTTAAAAATCTTCTGCTCTTTTCTTTCTGCCAATTCACATACTGAAATACTCTTTTGGACTGTCTGCTTGTCCATTTCACCTGATTCCTCCTGAATTTCACCATTCTCAACTTCCTCTACTCTTTCTTCCTCAGTCTCTTTTCTTGGGGGTTGGGTATCCTTAGCCCGGGCAAGGGGGGAAGGACCTGTGTTCTTCTGGGCAGGGGGAAAGGACCAGTGCCCTCACTCATCTGCTCCCAGATTTGGCAACCCTTGTGCAGCAACGGGTGCAGTTGGTGCGTAGGTTGGAGGGGGCCAGATTACTCCTTCCTCCTTTGTCTTCTGGGTCTGGCAAGACTGCTGGTTTGTTTTTTTTCTAACTTGTACTTGCTGCCATACTGGGCACAGTTTTGGCTTTCACAGTTCTACTTTTCCTAAGCCATGGGGGACGGTCAGGAACTTCACATAAGTGTTTGGAGTCTATTTTTCTTAAGGTTTTTTTTAAAAAATCCCCAATCTTCTCCCTTTTGTGGCGTCTGTCCAATTTTTTTTTCAGGAAAAAACATTGCAGGGGGGGGGGGGTCGTGGGAGTTGTTTTACTGCTTTTTCTCCATGACCCTGGAACCCTGGAACACTTGGGACACTGGGACACTCCCTCCTCCTAACGTCATTTCTCTCACTCAGTCACAGACCACACGTTGCTTCCAACGTCTCACACACTCAAAACATTCACTGGAGTGTCCCCACACGCACATTCAGAAAAACCCATGCACCTCCCCAAATCCCCTTTTTTTACCAAAACCAACCAACCAACCGGCAGCGCTTAGACTTCGACCGGGGCCCAGCAGCACCCTTTACTGCTTTTTCTGGGCGACACCAAAACCAGTGGCACTTTTTCTGCCCTACTGGTCGGGTTGATCAGGCCCTGTTTGTTTGCTTCCACCTATACCCTGTGGAGCCTACCTTGTTCCTCGAGGTACCTTCTTTCGGCCGTTGCTTTTTCTCCGGTCCTTGCAGTGTGTCCACTCGGGAACGGGGGGCAATTCCTCCCCCGAACTTGGCAGGATGTGCACTGGAACTGCTGACACGAACCGAGCTGTTCACCACAGGGACGCCTTGAACCCACATCCCTTATCCTCAGGGAATCTGTTTTTCCCGGCCAAACGCACCAAGAAAATGTAGCCTTATGAGGCTTTGCCCTCGGGTGGGAAAAATATTGCGCCTGGGAAAGGGAAGTGGGAGTCAACAGACACTCAAGGAATAGTTTTGGAGAAAAGGCTTTTTATTTCTACCATCCATGAACTAGTAGAAGGAGCAAGTGTGATAGTTCACAAAAAGCATGCACGAGTTCACAATCATGTGCACAAGCATATATACCCCTTCCAGTTCCCTCCTCCTTTCTCCTCCTTCTTCCAGAGGCCTGCCCCATGTTGAGGTTCCTGAGCATGTACAGAAAGCTGTCTTGGGACTATTGTGGCCTCTTGGCACCCTTCCCAGGAAAGGGGGAATGAGAGTAGTTCAGCATGTCCAAAGATGTTGCAACTAGAGTGAGATAAAAGTCAGTCTCAGGCCTGCTCTGACAGAGTCTATTCATTAGCTTTTTGAAGCATTCTTGTACTGATAAAAAGTAACGGTTTGCCCTTGCCACAGCATCTTGTGAGAAAATCAGAGAAGAGCAGAGAAAAGCTGTTTTGGATTTTTAGAAGACAAAAGGAATTTTGGACAGTTTGAGGCCTGGGTGGGGGGACGACTGTGGGCCTAGGTGGGGTCACCTGTCCTCATCTTCCTTCAACACAAATTTCTGCAATTTCCCACAGGCTACCTTGTGAGGATCTTGTGTGAGGGGAAACTTAGTGATTTAGAGTCTTAGGAAAGAGCCGTTCGCACAAGAACAGTTTTATTTACAAAGAAGAGGTCCATGAAACAAACTTGGGGTCAGGAGGTGCGTTCTTTCAAATAAAGTTGGCTTATTACTTAAACTAAATAGAAAGATCTCACTGTAGTACATGCACAGCTTTTCTTAAACTTCAGTTGCTAAAAGCTCACTTGTTGCACTTCAGTTGGAAGTTCAGGTTTCTACCATAGGAGGTAAAAGAATTAACTCGGTTTCTGTTCATTTACTTAGTTATGACCAGGGTTACACTTAAATACTTTTAATACAGCGCAGCTTCCTTCTCAGCCTAATACTTTGGTTCCTGAGCGAGGGGCATTTTTCGTTCGTCCGCCTCTCTCTTAGCCATCCCACTCCTGAGGGATTTCCCACAGACCCAGGGGATCCTCTCAGGCCTTGTTATTCATTGGGGGATCTCCTTTTCCTAGCAGATCTCTCCCCTCCTGACTGGATGAGACCCTGGTTTAGTCCGTCTTCCCACAGCTCCTCCCTCTCCTGCCTCAGACTCAGCCCTCCAGATTAATTCCTGCCTCCATATTCTCCCCAGACCCTCCACTGGGTCATCTTCCTGTCTAAGCTGTGAGACTCCTTCTTCTGGCTAGAGAGATTCTCCCCAGATCAGAGCCAGTTCTCCCTCAGAAAAGAGCCTCTCCGAAGAAGAAGAAGAAGAAGAAGAAGAAGAAGAATACCCCTCTCTGATCAGGCCCTGCCCAACTCTCTCCCTCAGAAAGAGCTTCTTGGGTTTTCCCTCCAAAAGGGCTGGCAGCCAATCAGAGACAGAGAGAGGCTCCCGCCCTCTGCTGGAACCTCGGAGGCACTGCACCCCCACACTCCACTCTGGCTCTGAGGGAAAATACCTCATGGGTTGAAGCAAAAGGAGAAAGCTAGGAAGAAGAAAGGATACAGATAAACTGACCGAGGCTTCTCTTGTCATTTGTATTTCACAATTAGTTTACAGGAATATCTGCAACATATGGTTCATTATTAGAGGTCAGCGCCTGAGATTGAGGCAAATGCTCAAAACTGCAGATTCCAACACCCCCACCCGTTTCTGGAAGGTCTCTGTGTAACTTGAGGCTTTTTTCCCATGCTTGAGGCTTTATGTTATTATTATTTTTATTATTGTTTGTTGGTATTTTTACTACTATTACCACTGTTCCAGAGCAGAGTGCCACCATTTTAAAATACTTTAAAACAAATAACAATCAGAGGAATAGGCTGGGTCCTCTGTTGTCAGAGGCCTTGGGAAAGAGGGGGAGGTGCCTGTGTGGGGAGGGAATCCCCAAGGGGGTCTGCCCCCAGGATGCCCTCTCTTGGGCCACCCCCACCCCAGACTCTCAAGGGGGTGAAACTACCAAGAGGGCCCCTCTGCCAAATTTCACAGCCAAAGGGATCTGTAGGGAAGAAGGTGGTTCTTCACATATTGGGGGGGGGGCTAAGTGAACCCCTCCTGAAGGCAGCCCTGTTTAGGGCAGTTTTTAATGTTTAATGCTGTATTGTGTTTTTAATATTTGGTTGGGAGCCTCCCAGAGGGGCTGGGGAAACCCAGCCAGATGGGTGGGGTGTAAATAATAAATTCCTATTATTATATTATACTCCTGTGAGAGCTTTGAATTGGACCTGGAAATGAAGGGACCACCAATGCAGCTGTTTTAAAACAGGAATTAAATGTGTTCTCAGGGGTTGCAATGGGAGGGATTCAATGAGATGGGGTAGACCCATGGATGCTCCTTGGAGAAAAAGGGGGGAAATAAATGCCCTTCATAAAGAAAGGAGCCCAGCCAACAATCTGGAGCAGATTCTGAACCATCCTCAAGAGCAGTTCCACTTAGAGGGCATTGCGATGATCCTATCTGATCCACAGCAGAGAGTACCCTGGCCATGTCATCTCTGCTCCAAGGGGACAGTGGTGGGCAAGCTGGCCAGAGCTGGAAAGGGGCACTTCCAAACAGAGAATTTATTTACAATCATAGGAGGAATGTGAGCCCTTCTCACTTGTTTATAGTGCTATCCTTTGGCCCTCAGACCTAAGAAAAGGGATTCCACCCCAGCAGTTTGTCTTGAGAACTTTGCACATTCCAAGTGGCTAGAAAATGAGACAGAAGCAGGAAGGAAATGGTCACTGAACTGTGGGAGGGAGGGAGAGCAGCTCTTGAGGATCCCACGGTGGGTTGGTTGGTTGGTTGGTTGGCATCCATTTGTCTCAGGAGACAATGGGAGAGTGTGCCTTTGGGGGTGAGGTCAAACTGTGGGAAGGTTGCAGCGGCTGCAGAGGCCCTAGCCTAGTGTCAAAATTACACTTGTACAAATGACTCACTTGTCAATCACAGTTCTGTCTTCTTTCATTAACTGAAAACACTGAAAGGCAGGAGCAACTAGGCTGATTCATTTTTCAGACCTTCCCAATGTTTCCTGCACATTTTGCATAGTAAGGTCTAGTAGGGCTGGACGCCGGCTTCTCCTTTTCCTTTTTTGAAAAAGAAAGTTCAGAGTCTGGGCTGTGTTGCAGTCCAGCCCTGGTTCCTAATAAGATTCCGGGAATCTTTTTCTTTTCCTGGCTGCGTATCAATTTCATAACAGAACAATGTATTTGCTTTGTAGGATTTGCAAAGGCCTCTACTTAGGACAAACAGAACTTGGTAGTAGGACCAAGAGCTTTCTTCCGATCTCTTGGGGATTCCACAGAGCCCAGATGGATGAATCAGAGTCCGCTGGCCCTGAAGCAGGAAGAGGCCATGCCATCCAAACTGGGAGCAGCGGTGGAATCTGGGAAAACTGTCTGCTGAAGATCCAGGGTGAGGAGAACACCTTCAGCTCAGAAGGACCTCGAGAGGTTTGCAGCCGACTCTACAACCTTGACCATCAGTGGCTGAAGCCAGAAAGACACACAAAAGCTGAGATGCTGGATCTTGTGATCTTGGAGCAGTTCCTGGCTGTCCTTCCGCCAGAGATGGAGAGGTGGGTGCGGGAATGTGGAGCCCAGACCAGTTCCCAGGCGGTGGCCCTGGCCGAAGGATTCCTCCTGAGTCAGGCAGAGGAGAGGAAGCAGGCAGAGCAGCAGGTGAGAGAGACTTTCCCCTGGATATTCCAGAGGGGCTCTGAACATGAGAGAGAGTATCCCAAAATTCTCTCTTAATCCCCCAATCTTATTTGGAAAGCCTCCAAGGAATGAGATCGGATACCCCTAAAGCTTTTGCCTCTCCCAGTCCTTTTCTAATGTTTCTCTCCATTCTCTGCTTCCAATCCCTTTTGCCCTTTTAGGGAAAGATTATCTTTGCAGAAACGGGCCTGGATTCCTCTGAGGCAGAGATGACTCCATTGGACGCCAAAGAGAGACCACTGGGTAAGGAGGAAGGAGGGTTTTTCCCATTTGGTCACACATTCTGTAGATTTTGCTACTAATATGTGGGTCCCCCCAACATTTTGGGGAGGACACTAGGGGCCAAGAGCCCAAAGTGGGGACATGTATTTTTACCTAGCTAAGATACAAATGTCAAAATGCACTCAGTAGGTGAGACTTTTTTACAGGCCCACCTGTAGTTAGAGATGCACTGCTTCACCTCTAAGAGGAGCATGTGAAAATGGCCTGCCACTTGCCTTTGTCTCTCACAGGTGACAGAATGATGCTGGCAAGAGATGCTTATCCATCTTTGCATGAAGGCAGAGATGTAGCAGCCACGGAACCAGATCAGGTAGGGAGAATGAAGGATTGTGGCGAAAGAGTCCCTAATGAATCTCTCTCCTCCTTCTCTTGGCTGTAAAGGCCATTGCAGGAGCCTTATGTTCTGAGAATGGTGAACAATCACCTCACGTTGACTAGCCTCCTGAATGTTGCTAATACAGTGGTACCTCTGGTTATGTACTTAATTCGTTCTGGAGGTCCATTCTTAACCTGAAACTGTTCTTAACCTGAAGCACCACTTTAGCTAATGGGGCCTCCTGCTGCCGCTGCGCCGCCGGAGCACGATTTCTGTTCTTATCCTGAAGCAAAGTTCTTAACCTGAAGCACTATTTCTGGGTTAGCGGAGTCTTTAACCTGAAGCGTATGTAATACAAGGTACCACTATTATTTGTCAGTAGTTGCAGTTTTATTTACAGAGTTAACATTTAATGCTAAAATAGGCTTCTAAATAGTTGACAAATCATAAAAACAGTGGCCAGAATTCACCTTTCCCCTCATTCCCTCCCCATGACCCGCAGTACCCCCTGAAGTTGACTTTAATGCATTGTGAAGGTTCCCCCCACCTCCAGAACAGTAGCTGGGGAGAGCCAAGAGAGGATCCTTCCATCTGGGAAACTGGAATCGATGAGCAGAGAGAATTACCGTATTTTTCGCTCTATAACACACACCTGACCATAACACGCACATAGTTTTTAGAGGAGGAAAACAAGAAAAAAATTCTGAAAGAAATAGTGGATGTATCATTTTTGTGCTTCATGCTGTGGCCACAGACATGTGATTTGACGGTGAGTTTGGGGTAGCCCAAAGCAAAAATCCTGAGAATCCATGTGGATCTGCGCATTGTAACCACGTTTTGCACCATTGCAGCCCCAGGCAACAGCGGGTGCGTGCATTTTTTGGTGCAGGCTGTAGCCATGGACATGCTATGTGATCTGATGGTGAATTTGGGGTGACCCAATGCAAAGATCCTGAGGATCCATGTGGATCCATGCTTGTAACCACGTTTTTGCACCATTGCAGCCCCAGGCAACAGTGGGTGCGTGGTTTTTTTGGTGCAGGCTGTAGCCATGGACATGCTTTGTGATCTGATGGTGAATTTGGAGTGACCCAATGCAAAGATCCTGAGGATCCATGTGGATCCGTGCTTTGTAACCACGTTTTAAGTGGGGAGGGAAGGAAAAACAGAAGGGACAAGGAGCACGAGAGGGGTGTGCAGAGAAGCAGCTGGCTAACAATGCAGGAGAGGGGTTTAACGGGAGGGAGGAAAGGAAGGCAAAAGTTCCCCCCTCCCAAGCCAGCCTCCCTCCTCTCTCCCACCTGCATGTTTTCCGGCTGCCTGCGAGTCCCTAGAATGCTGGACGCAGCACCGGAGCACGGAGAGGAGGAGGTGGTGGCTGTCGGTTGCGCTCCTAGCCGACGGAACCTGAGCCGGGTGGGCGGGAGCCTGCACGCAGTGTGACTAGGAAGGGATTAGAAGGAAGGGCGCGATCCTTTCCTTTCCCCTCTGCTTGCCAGGAGGGCAGGGGATTTTCCTGCTCTTTGTTGCGTTTGAGCAAACACAGCAACCGAAAACAGAAGCGGGTGGGCAGTAAGACCCTGAGGCAGAATGCAGGAAAGCAGCAGCTTCGCTTCTGCAGCCTTCCCTCCTCCGTGCGATCTGATTTTTGCCCCTGCACTCGGGCTAGTCGGCTCCAGGGACCACACGTTCGCTCAATAACACGCACAGACATTTCCCCTTACTTTGTAGGAGAAAAAATGTGCGCCTTATAGAGAGAAAAATACGGTATTTGAAGATCACCATGTGGCATTCCATTCATTCCCCCAAAAGCTTAATACCAGTCATTAAAATACACACAAAAATACCCAGTTTTGTTAAAACATTAAAATATGCATCCATAATTAAAAATGTACAGCAAAACAATTACATTAAAACAAAACAGCAATGAACAGGCAGAAAACAACAGAGCAATGTGTAGTAGATAATCTGTATGTTGTCTAAGAAGGGGACCTTTCCCTTTTTATTTTAGGGTCTGGTGTGCTTTGAAGATGTAGCTGTTCATTTCACAGATGAGGAATGGGAGTTGCTGGATCCTGACCAAAGAGCTCTGTATAAGGAAGTAATGGAGGAGAATCGTGGGATCATGGATTCTCTTGGTAAGGCTGCCTTTTGGATTACAATATCTCTTTTGGAATTCTTTTTGAAATTCAGTCCCTGAGGCTGTGATCCGTTTCTTTTTGTTGCAGATGGTGATGAATCAGAAAGGAAGAATGAGGGACACCAAATCTACACAATGGAGAAGCGGTATCAATATTTGGAGCGTATAGAAAACTTCAGAAGAATTCATACAGGGGAGAAACCCTATCAGTGCTTGGAATGTGGAAAGAGCTTCAGTCGGAAGGATCATCTCACTTTTCATCAAAGAATTCATACAGGGGAGAAACCATATCAGTGCTTGGAATGTGGAAAGAGCTTCATTCAGAAATCCTATCTCCGTTCCCATCAAAGAATTCACAGCGTGGAGAAACCCTATAAGTGCTTGGAATGTGGAAAGAGCTTCGCTTGGAAGGTCAATCTAACAGCCCATGAAAGAATTCATACAGGGGAGAAACCATATCAGTGCTTGGAATGTGGAAAGAGCTTCAGTTGGTACTACAATCTCAGTTCTCATCAAAGAACTCACGGCAAGGACAAATCGTATCAGTGCTTGGAATGTGGAAAGAGCTTCAGTCGGAAGGATAATCTCAATCTTCATCAAAGAATTCATACAGGGGAGAAACCATATCAGTGCTTGGAATGTGGAAAGAGCTTCATTCGGAAATCCTATCTCCGTTCCCATAAAAGAACTCACAGCGTGGAGAAACCCTATAAGTGCTTGGAATGTGGAAAGAGCTTCGCCTGTAAGGTCAGTCTAACAGCCCATGAAAGAATTCATACAGGGGAGAAACCATATCAGTGCCTGGAATGTGGAAAGAGCTTCATCCGGAAGATAAGTCTCACAGGCCATCAAAGAACTCACAGCAAGGAGAATCCCTATAAGTGCATGAAATGTGGAAAGAGCTTCAGTCAGAAGCATCATTTCACTCTTCATCAAAGAATTCATACTGGAGAGAAACCATATCAGTGTTTGGAATGTGGAAGGAGCTTCACCCGGGAGGACAGTCTGACTTCCCATCAAAGAATTCATACAGGGAGAAATTATATCAGTGCTTAGAATGTGGAAAGAGGTTCAGTCAGAGTGCCCATCTCACAACCCATCAAAGAATTCATACAGGGGAGAAACCATATCAGTGTTTGGAATGTGGAAAGAGCTTCATCCAGAAAAGAAGTCTCACAGGCCATAAAGTAATTCATACAGGGGAGAAACCATATCAGTGTTTGGAATGTGGAAAGAGCTTCATCCAGAAAAGAAGTCTCACATCCCATCAAACAACTCATACAGCGGAAAAGGCATTTCAGTGCTTGGAATGTGGAAAGAGCTTCATTCGGAAGGAAAGTCTGACTTCCCATCAAAGAATTCACAGCGTGGAGAAACCCTATAAGTGCTTGGAATGTGGAAAAAGCTTCAGTCAGAAGAGCAGTCTCACTTCACATGAAAGAAGTCACAGCGAGAAGAAAGCATATCAGTGCATGGAATGTGGGAAGAGCTTTAGCCGGAAGGATTGTCTGGCTTCACATCAAAGAACTCATACAGGGGAGAAGCCCTTTGAGTGCTTGGAATGTGGGAAGAGCTTCATTCAAAGAGCAGGTCTCGTGTACCATCAAAGAATCCATACAGGGGAGAAGCTGTTTGAGTGCTTGGAATGTGGGAAGAGCTTCACTCATAAAGCAGATTTCATGCGGCATCAAAGAATCCATACAGGGGAGAAGCCCTTTGAGTGCCTGGAATGTGGGAAGAGATTCAGTCAGAGAATTGGTCTCGTGTCCCATCAAAGAACCCATACAGGGGAGAAGCCCTTTGAGTGCTTGGAATGTGGGAAGAGCTTCACTCATAAAGCATCTCTCATGCGGCATCAAAGAATCCATACAGGGGAGAAGCCCTTTGAGTGCTTGGAATGTGGGAAGAGATTCAGTCAGAGAATTGGTCTCGTGTCCCATCAAAGAATCCATACAGGGGAGAAGCCATTTCAGTGTTTGGAATGTGGAAAGAGCTTCACACAGAAGTTAAATCTCAGTTTCCATCAAAGAATTCATACAGGTGAGAAGCCATTTCAGTGCTTGGAATGTGGAAAGAGCTTCAGTCGGTACTCCCATCTCAGTTCGCATCAAAGAACTCATAGCAAGGACAAACCATATCAGTGCATGGAATGTGGAAAGAGCTTCGCTTGGAAGGTCAATCTAACAGCCCATGAAAGACTTCATACAGGGGAGAAACCATATCAGTGCTTGGAATGTAAAAAAAGGTTCAGTCAGAGCGCCCAGCTCTCCGTCCATCAAAGAATTCACACAGGGGACAAATGATACCAGTGCTCAGAATGTGGAAAGAGCTTCATTCGAAGCACCCATCTCACTTCCCAGCAAATAATTCATACAGCGGACCAGTCTTCCAGAACTGGAAGACTGGGGAAATATCATCAAAGGAACTGAAGGAGGTGAGGACAGGTGACCCTGTAGCCTTATGAGGCTTTTCCCTCGGGTGGGAAAAATATTGCGCCTGGGAAAGGGAAAATGGGAGTCAACAGACACTCAAGGAATAGTTTCGGAGAAAAAGCTTTATTTCTACCATCCATGAACTGGTAGAAGGAGCAAGTGTGATAGTTCACAAAACAAGCATGAGTTCACAGCCATTTCCCTTCCAGTTCCCTCCCCTTTCTCCTCATCCTCTTTTCTTGGGAGTTGGGGATCCTTAGCCTGTGCAAGGGGGGGGGGAAGGACCTGTGTCCTTCTGGGCAGGGGGGAAAGGACTAGTGCCCTCACCCTCACCTGCTCCCAGATTTGGCAACCCTTGTGCAGCAACAGGTGCAATTGGTGCGTAGGTTGGAGGGGGCCAAATTACTCCTTCCTCCTTTTCTCCTGGGACTGACAAGACTGGTGGGTTTTTTAAAACTTGTACTTGCTGCCATACTGAACACAGTTTGGCTTGGGTAGTTACAGTTCTACTTTTCCTAAGCCATGGGGGACGGTCAGGCAACTTCACATAAGTGTTTCACCAGGTATTAAATCCTCAATCATCTACTTTCGTGGCGTCTTTCCAATTTGTTTAGGAAACATCGCAGGGGGGTCGTGGGAGTTGTTTTACTGCTTTTTCTTCATGACCCCGGGACCCTGCAACACTTGGACACTGGGACACTCAGAATGTGGAAAGAGCTTCATTCGAAGCGCCCATCTCACTTCCCAGCAAATAATTCATACAGCGGACCAGTCTTCTAGAACTGGAAGACTGGGGAAATATCATCAAAGGAACTGAAGGAGGTGAGGACAGGTGACCCCACCTAGGCCCGAAGTCATCCCCGCCCTCAATAATCACCCCAGGCGTCAACACTGTCCAAAATTCCTTTTGTCTTCTAAAAAAAATCCAAAACAGCTTTTCTCTGCTCTTCTCGGCTTTTCTCACAAGATGCATAGGAAAAATGTTATTCTTTTATCGGTACGAGAAGGCTTCAAAAGCTAATGAATAGGCTCTGTCATTGCCAAGAATACTCAAGCCTGAGAACTGACTTTTATCTCATTCAGTTGCAACATCTTTGGACATGCTGAACCGCTCTCATTCCCCTTTCCTGGGAAGGGTGCCAAGAGTCCAAAATAGTCCCGAGACAGGAACTTTCTGTTCATGCTAAGGAGACACATGGGGCAGAAACTTTTAAGAAGTTGGAGAAAGGGGAGGGAACTGGAAGGGAAATCTATACTCTGTGCAAATGGCTGTGAACTCGTGCTTGTTTGTGAACTATCACACTTGCTCCTTCTACCAGTTCATGGATGGTAGAAATAAAGCTCTTTCTTCGAAACTATTCCTTGAGTGTCTGTTGACTCCCATTTTCCCTTTCCCGGGCAAATATTTTTTCCCACCCGAGGGCAAAGCCTCATAAGGCTACAGAACAAAGGTAAGAGAAGCTGATGAACTATGCAGAGTTGGCAAAGCTAACAGATAAACTGTCGGGAAAAAGACAATAGTGACTTTGAAAAAGAATGGGAACCTTTTACATCATATCTGCAGAAACATCAACAAAAAGAGTCATTGGCAGGATTTAAATAAACATTTGCAATTTTATTTCCAAAAAATAGGAAACTTAATATGACAATATAGAAGTAAATATAAACAGCAGAATGTAATATAAGATGTAATAAACCAGTGATGGAAGTTGAGGGAAGTCCGCAGGGAAGGGGAAAATTGAAATCTGAATGTAATGTAATGATTATAGACATTGTTAAAAAAATAGAATTCATACAGCGGAGAAACCATATAAGAGCTTCAGTTGGAAGAGAAGTCTCACTTCACATAAAAGAACTCACAGGGAGGAGACACCATATAAGTGCTTGGAATGTGGGAAGAGCTTTGCCCGGAAGACAAGTCTCACAGCCCATGGAAGAATTCCCACAGGGGACAAAGCCTAATGGTGCTCAGAATGTGGACGGAGCTTCGGTCAGAGAGCCCAACTCACTTCCCATCAAATAATTCATAAAGGGGGAAACCATTCAGTTATTGCAATGCGGAAAGAGCTTCAATGAGTGTGACAATCTTGCTTCCCATCCTAGGATGCCTATCAGGAGAGGCATAGAAACAGAATTGTAGAGTTGGAAGGGACTACCAGGGCCGTGGCAATGCTGGAATGTCTGCTGAAGCATGCCTGACAGATAGTCGTTTAACCTCTGGTGATGAACCTGCAAGGAAGGAGAGGTCACCATCAGAATTTTCTTCCTGATGTGTAGCCATTTGGATCCTACCCTCTGGAGCAGCAGAAAACAAGCTTGCTCCATCTTCCATGTGACCCTTGATCATCTTGGTCACCCTCCTCTGCACATGTTCTAGCTTGTCAATATCCTTCTTCAATTGTGGTGCCCAAAACTGGACACAGAACTCTGGTGGAGTCTAACCAAGTTAGAATACAGCATGACTATTTCTTCCCTCAATCCAGACACCGCGCTTCGGTGGTTGCAGCCTAGAATAGGATCAGCTCTTTTTTTGCTGCTGCTGCTGCTGCATTGCACTGCTGAAGAGGAGAAGGGAGAGTGGAAGAATGAAAAGTCTTTGAGTGGTTCATGGGTGTTCTATCCAAGGGAAACTGACCACCGCACCAGCCGGAGAACTTCCTTAGTGCTCAGGTCCCCAGCTGTCAGGAAGGGAAGGCAGGATCAGCACCAGGGAGAGGATCGGAGGAGTGTGCTTCAAGGCCACAGCTAGAAAGCCAGCAGCAGAGGGAGAACATGCATGTTGTCTTGTGTGAAAACAACTCAAGTAAAAGCCTCACTATTTTGGAATCTCAACTCTCATGGATAGTAATGGGGTTACCAATTCTCCTACTCTGGCTCAAGCAACTAAGTTTATGGAGGATTTTTTCCAAGAGCTTTTGACACTTTGGGAAGGACTCTAGCAAATTCATCAGGTAATAGCCAGTCAAGGGTGACCAGACCGGCTTTATAAAAGCGAGACAAACGGCAGATAATATTAGATTAGTGGTGGATTTGGTAGATGAAAATAAAGATAAAGACCAGTTTGTAATTATATCGCTAGATGCTGAAAAGGCTTTTGACAAAATCCGTAAACAGTACATGGAAGTAGCTTTACTTAAATTTGAATTTCCTTTGGATATCTTAAAAGGGATTAAAGTAATCTATGAAGCACCTACGTCAAGAGTCAAAGAGAATGGTAATCTCTCTGCCACCTTTCCTCAGGCCTGAGGAACCAAACAAGGATGTCCTATCTCGCCATCGCTTTTTAATATCTGCTTAGAACGCTTGGCTTTCACCATGAGACAACACTGAGATTCACAGAGTAGTTCACAATACATTTGAATATAAACTAGTTTTATTGTTTATTTCAAATGATAGATGCTTTTGGTAAAATATCAGGTTATTCTATTCTATTATTCTGTTAATTGGTCCAATCGGAATTGATGCCAGTAGGCCAAAATCTGATTGCACATTCCTTCAAGGAATATCAATTCCAGATTTGTTCCAAATCTCTACAATATATAGGCAACTTAATACCAAGAGATAAAAAAAATAAGTCACACTTAATATAAATAAAATAATAAAAGAGATTTCTTCATATATTCACATACAGAAGTCATTGAACCTTACACTTTGGAGAAGGTGGAATGTTCTCAAAATGAATATAATTCCCAGATTAATTTATATTTTGAGAGGACTTGCAGTTTCTATATCTCATGTTTTCAAATGATAAACTCCTGTTTAGGAAATGCCTTTATATTTATCTACTTTATACATATCTACTGTCATGTATTAAATACTGGAAACTCATTGTTGGTCTTAATTTTCCGACGTGGGTGACCTTAGAATAGGCACATACAGCCCCTTTGGTGGGCTGGAGAATACAGTCATACCTCAGGTTAAATGTGCTTCAGGTTGATCGCTTTTGGGTTTTGCCATTCGCGCATGTGCAGACGGTCAAAATGACGTCACGTGCATGCGCGGAAGTGGCGAATTGCGACCTGCACAAGCACAGACGCAGGTTGCGTTCACTTCTGGATGCGAACGGGGCTCCGGAACGGATCCTGTTCGTATCCAGAGGTACCACTGTACTAGGATCAAAATATTTGAAATCCCAGGTGACTCTAGAAACAACTAAGTCATTTAGAAAGATATGGAACATGTTGTCTAATATAAATAAAGTTGATCTATACTCGCATGCCAAACCTGCCCTGTGGGGAAACCCTATATTAAAAATTGCTAAAAAGATGGTACTATGGAAAAATTTAATGGAAACAGGTGTATTGACTCTGGACCAGGTGATAGAAACTAGGAAGCCAGGGAATACTTTTTACACCTACCTACTAACAATAAAGGGACGCGGGTGGAGCTGTGGGTTAAACCACAGAGCCTAGGACTTGCCGATCAGAAGGTCGGCGGTTCGAATCCCTGCGACGGGGTGAGCTCCCGTTGCTCGATCCCAGCTCCTGCCAACCTAGCAGTTCGAAAGTACGTCAAAGTGCAAGTAGATAAATAGGTAACACTCCAGCGGGAAGGTAAACGGCGTTTCCTTGCGCTGCTCTGGTTCGCCAGAAGTGGCTTAGTCATGCTGGCCACATGACCCGGATGCTGTTCGCCGGCTCCATTGGCCAATAAAGCAAGATGAGTGCCGCAACCCCAGTATCGGCCACAACTGGACCTAATGGTCAGGGGTCCCTTTACCTTTACCTTTTTTAATACAAAATGTACTGGGCTAAAGATGTTTACATTAGTATTATGATAATAATATCGTATTTATGGGTTAGGATATACATATAATCCCCCACTTTTTTAGAAAACAACAACGTACAAGTTGTCTCGGGTGGCCTGGAATT